TGTGAACTGGTGCATTTTTTTTTTCAGATACATTAAGACGTCAAGTTCGGTTTTGTACACAAATACATATTTATGCCACCACGTCTCTATTATCCAATAAAAATGATTTTAATGTTTGATAGGCCCTTGTCTACGATAAGCCCTCGCCAGAATCAAGTAACAAGTAAAACCTACGACAAATATTTCGATAAAGTAAATTTTTTTGGCTTTGGTAATAGAAAAAAAATGTTTGATTCTATTTTAACTTTTTTTTGGTAGAAAAAAATTTTTGCCGTCGATTTTTTTCAGACTAATGTTTGTCGTGCGCACTTAATATTTATTCACCAGAATTTTAATTAGGATGCCTTTTTATATTCAGTGGAATTCGGCGCAAAAGTTACGAGTTACAAGGAAATAACCATGAAACTCAGTTTGCCACCAAAGAATCCACAATAAGATTTAAAAGGTCTGCTCGTATCAGGGTGAAGCCGTGAATGTTCCGACTGTCTTCTAAGGTCTACAGAGCGGTAATAACAAGCAAAAATTATATGTAGAAGAAATGGAAAAATGAGATTTTTTTGAAAATTATCGTCCCACACGCAATATAAAGTACAAAATGATAGATTTCGCTCCTAGTAACAAATCGTTTATTGCAAAATAGCTTCCTTAAACCAATTTGGAACGATTTCTAAGACGGATCAAAACTCCGCTTACGCGTTAATAGCGGGAAATATATCGCGCGATAATACAGCCCCAATTGGCCAAATTGGCAATCTTTAAACCGCCATAACTGTACAAAAAAATTATTACAGGTGAAATAACTTTTTCAATTTCAAGCTCAAGACAACAATACTTTTTAAATGATATAAAAAACTTCGCCAAAAATTGCTCGTTAAAAAGTCGAAATATGTCTGAAGAAAAAAACCCACACCGAGCACAAATATTCCGTTACTTTCGTTATGAAGGTCGAACAATAAAAAATATTACAAGTTTCCTGTCTTGAAATACAACGTGGTTTATAAAAACTTGACATATGTTACAAAAAGGAACTCAACGCCCAGTTATCATCAGGACGCTAGACATTCTGCGCAAATAGCTCAATGAAACTTTGAGCGGACTTCAGATAGTTTTTATTGACAATTTTTAGCAACCAGCGCAAGATTCTTTGATGAAAATAGATTAATCAGTTATGCTTGATTGCTTGAAGCTTTTTACGGCTCAAGCTCTAACAATAAACTAGAGAAAAAACTACTTTTTAAAAACCAACCAATAACTATTGGATGATTCATCGTGTTGATCAAAACATGAAATTAATCATCATGTTTTTTTTATTTCGGAAAATTTTTTTAACAAAAACATATTTTCTGAAATTAGAAAAAAATTTCAGAGACTTTCTGATGATCAACATTTTACCATCTCTCTATGAGTAAGCACAAACTGCCCAACCTTTTTTTCGGAAAATACGAAGAATGAACCTTTAAATGATTCTAACTTGTTGTCTAAAGCATAAGTAACATAATCAACTAGAGTTAGAAACATCGAAAAATCTGAAATTGAGTGCAATTTTTTTTGCTGATATATATATTTTTTAAATATTTAAAATATACAAAAGATTATATAGTGTTCCTTTTTTAAAAAAATCTTCATGTTGCAAGCAGCTCAGTGGGATTTCAACTTTTAAAGTTTTAAAGTTTTTGTAAAAAATTTCTGCAAAAAAAAATTATTTGAAAAAAGGTTCGTTCACATTCTTGGTATACTGGTAGTAAAACAATAGGACAAATGGAATCTCAAATACACCAACAGTTTTTTTTTAAACCTCAATTCAAATTTTTTTAAAAAAAATTGGTCTCATTGTTTTGCAACTGACGCTTTTCGTATTTTAGTTTCTCCTATTTGCTTTTGTGAACTAAAAGTAACTTTATCAAAAAATAAAAAATAATTTGAAAAAATGTCCAGTTGCATTTTCTTTCTTTTTCTGGTAGTAAAAACAAAGGAATGAATGGGTCTTTTTAGAGTAAAATGGTTTCTCGTTGTTTATTTATCACGTTGGAAAAGATCAAGAGGTCTCGTTTTTCCTATGTCTATTTTGCCTGATTGAATTTGCCATGAACTTTCGCAAACTTTTTTCCGTCACAATTGTACAGTGCTTTCGGAGACAAATTTTACTAATTTGGGGATAGGGGACAGAGAGTGTGAAATTCGGGAGAATGAATGAGGGGGAGTTTTTCAATTTTTTTCGAACTATCAGTTTTCTGCCTTGAATATAACATCTTTTCAAACTATAGCGTGTCTACGTTTTGTTTGTCACCTTTGTCACCGCAGCACGGACTAACCTTAAAAATAGGCATTCCGTGCAAAATTTTCTTTTTTATTCCGCTTTTTGTCAAACTCTTATTTTTCCAGGCATAAATTAGAGAACTTCTTCATGGCCTTGAAAAAGTTAAGCTGCAATAGATTTAGATAAATTAAGAGCAAAATACAGCCTTTTGAAAACAAAACATCTGATGGAATGGAAATGGCTATCAAATGCTAGAGATCATCAAAAGAAATTTTTGAATATATTATAAAAGGATGCAGATAGAAATAAATGATTCAAAAAAATAAATAGAAAGAAATGATCTGAAAAGGATAAGATCGATAGCGGATTTAAGGTACGAACAGTTCTAAAAATTTGAACTGGAACTGAGCAGCAAACATGGGAACCGGTCTAAGCATGCTCAAATATAAAAGCGCAATTAACTCGTTCGGTACTTCAAGATTTCTTTTCTCAAATTTGCAGCTTTACTTTGCGTGCACTTCGATAAAAACCCTACCGTGTGTTAACAGAATGAAAAAATACCAATTTCACGATAGCAATTTGTGCACGCAAATTTAAAATTGCAATTCCGAGAACAAAAACTTGAAGCACTGAACGAACCAAATGCGTTCTTATACATGAGCATGCAAATTGACACAATGGGCCGGCCCCTACGTTGGTATCAAATCTGATTTTCGGAAGAACAATTATTTTTTGTTTTTACCCAGTTATCTTACTTCTCTGATGCTATAGCTTCTGTTTAACCTCAAAAGGTCTTGTCTTCGAGCCCGACCAATGGTTGTATGTTTTTTTTTGTATACAAAGAGTTCAAATTTTTGCTCATGGAGTAATTTGAGTTTTCACTGTGTCGTGCTTCTGTCTTTTTTGCCCGTTTAAATGTGGCAGCCTGGACTTGTTTAGTAGTGAGCAATTTATGCAATATTTATAAAATGTTCATGTTTTTTTTTAAATGTTTGCTTGCGTTCTCGTTTTAATGGTATAGAAAAAGATAAGTTTAATGGAGTTTTATATGTACTAACAGTTTTTTTTCTTAAAACCATTTGTTTTGTTTAAATGGTCACATTGATTTACAGCTGTTCTATGTTCTTCTATTAGTTTTTGTAAGCTAAAAGTAATTTTGCCAAAAAAATTATCTTAGTAGAAATTTAAAAAAAAACATTGATTGTATTTTGTTCTTCTGGTAATAAAAAGAAAGGAAGATCCTTCTATAGTAAAAAGGTTTCTTTTTACTTATTTAGCAAGTTTGGAAAGATCAGTAGGTCTATTTTTTTCAACTGACTCTTTTACAGGATCGATTTATCAATTTGTTTCCGTGAACTATAGACAATTCCGTGAACTACAAACAAATTGTTTGCTGTCAACTTTTTTAACTGACTTTTATGGCAAATTAAACCAATTTTAGAAGAGGGAAGGGAATCGTGCAGTTTTTAAAAATTTTTGTACGAACTTTAAGTTTTCTGCCTTGACTAAAACAAGTTTTCAAACTTTACTTTGTCTCACTTTTCCTTGTCAACTTAGTAAACGCATCACTGTTTCATTTTAAAAAAAAGCATTTTTTGCAAAATTTTTCTCGCTTCTGAATTTTCTTCCTTTTTTCGTGTAACTCTAACCTTTTTAGCATAAATCCCGGGTCGAGTTGCTCATCTCATGTTTCGACTTTCAAAATCGAGTCAGTGCTAGACCGAAAAGTAATAGTCGAGACAGGGGCTTAGGTCGAGCCCGAATTCGAAACATACCTCGACTCGAGCACAGTCGAAACGCACCTCGGGCAGGATCGAAGCAGCCTTGAGCACAGTTGAGCACGGTCAAAACACAGAACAAAATCTCAAGCACAGTCGAAAATTACATTGAGCACAATCGAGCACGGTCGAAGCATGCCTCGAGCATATCGAAAAATACCGATTATCCCGCGGTAATTTGAAGTCAAAAATATAAAATTTCTTTTTAATGTCAACTTACTTTTCAAGATTTATAACGTTTTAATTTTGATAAATCATGTTGTTTGAGATTCGAAACATAGCCAAATTTGGTCGAGCATAGTCGAAACATAGCTTGTTTGGCTCGAGCACGGTCTAGCACATTTTTTGACCAAGCACAGTCGAAATAAATCAAATTTTGGTCGAGCACGGTCAAGACACACCGAATTTTGGTCGAGACGGTTGAAACATAAAGTGAGCACCTCGACCCAGGATTAGATAACATATTCATGGCCCTGACTTTGTTTAGCTGCATTAGATTTTTAAGTTAGTTGTTTGCTGTTAGGAGCAATATACTGTTTTGTGAAGAACAGAAAATCTAATGGAAACGAAATGGCTCTCAAAATGCAAGAGATCACCAAAAACAGATTTATGAACCGTTCAATAATTAATAATTG